ATGACATGAGAGAAATCTCCTGTTCTTACAAATAATGCTGTGAAAACTTTATTGTTTAAACAGAATAGAGAGGACCTCATGCACTTGAAACATCCATACAATAAATTGCATAGGACATAATTTACCTCACTCAGAAGTCTAAAGGAGAAATCAACATTGTTTTGATTTGATTATGATGATCTGAGAGCTCTAGATATTTCAAACCTGAGCATATGGTTTTCACTGATGTCATTGAAAAGGATATTACAAGCTTTTCCTCTATCTGTGATTTCTAGAGAGATGCTTAGGTCAGAAATATGTATTTACTTGCAAATTATTGTAAAATCAGATTATGGGCTAACTAATCAAAGAACAGTGGAGTGTGAAAAGTTCTATTAAGGCACTAATGACTGTCCCACTTGTAGTATTTTGATGACTAATTGCAGTTTGTCATTGGCTTGTTATATATCAGAAATACATGCTAAATTTTAATTAATGTTAAATTCAGATCTACCTTATGATTAATCTCGTAGCCATGACATTGCTTTTATGTAGTTCAAAATATATATTTTTCAGGACTATTTTTACAACGACTGTGAGATTTGGGAGTATGGAAGGAACATTTTTCTGATGGTTTTCAGTAGTGACAGCAAAACTCTTGGGCCTTTGGATTGCTCTGCTGGGTGAATGCTTTTAAGCAGAAAACCAGTGATAGGTAGACAGTGTGGAAGTGGTACTAGAAGGTTACAGGCTGCACTATTTTTCAAACTACTTTTTAATGAGTATAATGTTGATGGTGCCTTTGGATAGGGTCATGCATTATACCCTCAATTCTGGAAGAAAATTGATACGATTATTAAAAGCAGGGACGGGGGAAGAAAATTAATTTATTTTAAAAAATCAGGAACAAAAAGATAGAGTATTTAATTCACTTCCATGCCAGATTTCTGTTAGGCGTGGGGGGATGGGCATTAAGGAGTTGGTTACAGCTTTCCAATCCTGTGTTGCATGGCCCTTGCCTAATTATACCACTAGCATAAGTGTATGCCTACACAGAGATAAAAGCCCCCAGAGCATGGCTATGCCTGACCGGGGTCAGCTGCAGGTATTTTATCTCCATGTAGACATACTCTAGTGACCTTAAGCCAGTGGAGGATAGGTGTGGTTTTGCTATGCTAAGCCCCATTTGTCCGTCTACTCCAGAACTGTGGGAAAGGGTTGGCACAGGAGGTGGCTATGCCAGCAGAGTCTCTTAAATGGGGGAATTAGATTATGCCCGGGCTTCAGGAACCACGTCTTCTGCTATTGCTCCTTTTCAGTCAGCAGTGACACCAGGGCTGCCTGTACTTCCTCAGAAAAGCTCATATCTATATTAAATTCAGTGTCTGCCTCGCCTTCCCCAGCTGAACGTGGCAGGCATAAGAAGGTCAACTTCAAAAGCACCTATGGAACACCATGAGGCCTCACTCAGATCCAGGTTACAGAGATCCCCCCTGTACCTTGGCCTGAGCCCTAGAGGAGTACTCCTCCCAACTTGATGTTTGACTCAGGAATGTAATGACTAGAGTGAAGGACCCTTCATCTGGGCTTTCTCATAGGAGTAAGAGACACTCATAAACAGAAGAGCAGATCCTCTGCTAAGAGAAGAGATCCCTCCCTGATCCTGTCCAGGTAAAGCAAGACTTCGTGCCTAGAGCACAAGGATTTAGGTCCTCCTAAGCTTCATGACTGTTGATTAGAAGGTGCACAGGAGCAAGGCTCTATCAGTGCCATTCCTTGCATCACCACTGATGCTGACCATAGTACCAACTAAAACAAGGCATCGGAGCTGAGGGACCGGTTATGGTTGGTACAGACAAAGACCATGTAGTCAGACACTTCTTTACTGGAGGTACCATCACAGCCCTATAAGGATTACTAAGAGTCCCTTTACACTGACTCTGATGGCACAAGTTGATGTGATGCAGCTTTCAGACGTTCCAGTATCTTGCAGAACTCCAGAGGATATCTTCATCCTTCCAGACCTGCAATCTGCCTTGTTGTTGGGACCAATCGTAGCAGGGAGTTTGTATCAGTAGAGGACATGGATTTAGGGAGAAGCCCATCGCTCATCCTGTCCATGGTACCAGTGTTGATTCCATCCCCACCTAATTCCGAGATATGCTGTGGTGGACACCTAGTACAATTTCCCCATGACTGAAGGGCAATGACTGTGGACAGGTGGATGCTGGATATCATCCATTCCGGCTCTATCATCGAGTTTCCTTCCCCACCGCCTCCAAACCCGCTTTCTTGTTCCTCTTCAGGGACCATTCTCATGAGGAGGTCCTCCTTCAGTAGGGAGACTCCTTTCTCCAGTCCCTGCAATGGTGTGAGTACATCTACAGCATCAATGAAAAAAGGATTTTATTCCAACATGTTCTAGTCCCCAAAATGACCTCTATAGGGTGACCACAGATTCAATCAGAACAACAGAGTATCTCCTTATGTATAGATTCCTAGCCATGGGAAACCTGGTAGATCAGGTTATATACAACCTTTGGACATGGGTCTGGATCTACCTTACTGTACTGGGTCACATGGTGTCGTGTACCTATGTAATGCCATTTGCCACATTCCACCTGTGCTGCCTGCAGGCTTGGCTTCGAACAGTACACATACTGAGCAAACCCAGCATGAACATTATAGTGGCACTTCCCATCAAGATAAGGGATTCTCTGACTTGGTGGAAAGCTCCTGCACAAGTTCCTTTCCTGTGCTCCATGCCTGACAGGACAGTAATCATGGACTCTTCCTTGTTAGGTTGGGGCACTCATATGGACAGTCACACAGTACAGGGTGATTATATGCATTCTAGTTTCCTAGGGCATCCAAACATCCTGGAATTCAGAGCAGCCCAAGAAAGATTCAGAGCAGTCTTACCATTAATCCAGTCTCATCACATTCTCATAATGTCAGACAATATGACAACCATATCTGATGTAAACAAACAGGAAGGAGTAAGTTCCATTCCTCTGTGTACAGAAGTGGTCAATTTATGGAACTGGTGTATCAAGAACCATATCAGCATTGTACCTCCCAGGAACCCAGAATTTGTTGGTGGACAGCCTCAGCAGGCACTTTGTCACTGACTATGAGTGGAAGTTACACAGTTTAGTAATGAAGAACATCTTCACTCAGTGGAGAACATCTACGTGGGTCCTGTGGTCAGCTACTCACTCAGCTTTTCCCAGCCGCAGCCCTCTCCAGGGCTGCTTTTAACCCCTTCAGGGCCGGAGTGGGGTGACCACCCCGCTACAGTAAATTAAATGTCTGTTTTTCTGTTCTGGAATGCTTTATAACTTTTATGGACAATTTCAATAAAGAAATTGAAATCAAAAGCCTTTTCCTGTTCCTTATATTATGGTCAGTGTAGTGTTTCTTCTATAGAGTAGGTTTCTACTGGTAGAGCTGCACCCATATTTGAGTGTGTGTTTGTATAGTGACATCTGTATTTTTTTCAAACTGATTTTTCAAAGAAAGTACATAGGCTGACTGAACCAGACATCAACAGAGTCATGTGAAGATGAATATCAAATGAAACAAATGCTAAAATGAAAAGGATAGTTAATAAATTAAGCCAGTGGCACTGAGAGTGAACAGGTATTCAAGATGCTATATGCACATTCCTTTTTAAATTCTTTTTTTCTTACTGTAAAACAGTAAACAGACTATACTATTATCTCCCAAGAGTCAGTTGAAAATGTATTGTATTTGAACAGAATTATCTAATATTGTCAACAACATTTGCAAAAAGAAAAATGTTATCTGTTTGCTTATGCCACCTTCCATATTTTACTTAAGCATTAAACAAAACCAGGCCGGTAGGCTACTGGGAGTGGAGATTACAGCAACCCACTTTGAGTTACATAAGTCAGTGTTTAACATGTATCTAAAACATTAAGCAACCCAACACAACTGTGAGACAGGCAAGTATTAACCTTTTACTGTTAGAGATTTAAGGCCAAGATTTTCAAAGTGGCCAGTGACTTTTGGATATCTGTCTTGGATATACTGGGCCTAATTTTCTGAGGTGCCAACCACTTGCAGTTCCCATTGACTTACATTAGAGATGTGGGTGTTCAGCACCTCAGAAAATCAGGCCTAAACTATAAATTTTGGCACAAGTGACATGCCCATGGTCACACAGCCAGTATATGGCAGAATCTGAAATAGAACTCAAAGAGAAAACTTACCTTCTCCATAAAATTCTTCTTAGTATTTACTTGTGTATGTATTGTAACACTGAGATTTTACTAGTAAAATCCAATATTTGAGAAGCAGAGTTTATTAATATACATGGTATGAGCTGTCTTTAAATAGAAAGCCTTTGCGGTGAGGGAAATATATATTCTTTAGCACCACCTCTTTCTTCTTTGTTTATACAGCGCGTAGCAAAATGAGGCTGAACCATGACTGGGTCTCCTACATGCTACTGCAATACATATTCTTTCTGATGTATTATTGATTTTGTTTGACAAAATCATTCTGTCAATGTTACTTTAAATAAGATGAGTATAGTCAGAAGTACCCAAACACAGCATTATGGTACTGTCCGTAATAATAGCTGTGGGAAACAGTATTGCTGCTTTCTGAAACTGAACTAGCTGATATAACAGTGCAATCTTAAACTGCATCTCAGAGGTAATTCTGATAAATAAAAAACTGTTAAAAAACTAGTAGTAGGGCCATACCGATACAGTGGACTGCACTTTTCAGGCTCTGGATCTCTTTCAAAGTGAATGCTCTTGTACTTTTGTTGTATCAAAAAGGTTTCTGATGTTTTTTTGTGATAGAAGTAGATTTTAAGGGGTACTTTCTTCATATGGTTTTTAATTTAAAATCATTTGACATGCTTGGTCTGTTATTAGATCAGTCACATCAGTGTTACTAGAATGACCTCTGGATTTTAGTGAAGAGGAGAAGAGAGTTTCCAAATAAGGATATATAGATATATATTTTAATCTTTGTCTCTCTCCCAGATGGCAAAGCTAGCAGCTATCCCTGCTGGTCTGGCATTTGTGTCTATTAATATATATGCTGCAACAGAAGAAGAATCAAAAGCCCAGTCAGTGAAGCCAAATCAGGTAAGATTCTTGCTATTGTCTCATGCATTTTTTAACAATAAGTGGATGTATACAAACACCAGTGAATCTTTATTGTACACTATATCCTAGAGAAAACATAATAATAATATTTAGAAGATGTTTTGGAATGCTATAGCACTGCTTTATATGCTACTACAAATGATCAAAATATAGCCAGAATTACAGAAAAAATAGTTTTAAAGTTTAATATAATAATAGATTTTACAGATGTAGGCCAAGCAGGCGGGAATACAGTTGTCACAGATCCTAGCAAGTAACCCCTCCTGGCCACTCACTAGGATTGCTATGAGGGGAATCCAAGCCTCTCTGTCCTTGGGTCCCCAAGTTGTGTTAAGCCCCTGGAGTCTGAACAGAGTCCAGCCACTGCCCCAATCTTGGGAACTTTAGTCGCACTGTCAGGGCACAGACCTTTTATGTGGCATCCCTTTCAGAGAACTGGAAGGCGTTGTCCATCTGCCTGGCCCCTTGGACTAATACTGGCTCTTCCAAACTCCCTTGTACTTAAACACATCCTCTCCCAAAACTCCACCCAAAATGTGTGAAGCTTCTGGTTTGTGGTTAATTCTCAGGGGGATGCAGCAGTTGTGAAGCAGTTAATTTGCACGCACACTTTGCACAGAGTCTACCACATTTGTTTTTTTACTTAATCATATAAAACACAGACGAGTACAGCTCATACAGAACAATAAACATCTTAAACTGCAGTGTCCTTCACTTTCTAGCGGGTCATTGGGGATTCTATGATCACAGATGTTCAGAAAAGCAGGCAGGCAGGAAGTCTCCTGCTTCATAGAGGCGCTCTCCCTCTCGTGAAGTACCTTACTCAGTTTCTGTGACCTTGCTGTTTCCTGCCTCCCTGTTTCCTCTTCTCATTTGGCTCGTTATTAACCTTCCCCGCCCCACTGCCTTTGTTTTGTCTTTTGGGTAACTTTCCACTGCTCCTATCTTCCCTCCCTCCTTCCTCCCCCCCCACTCCCCACCTTCAGAGGAGTCCACTAAACTTGATTTCCAAGGATACAGCTGTGTTTCTCTATAACTTTTTGGTGTGGCTGTAATACTGTCATTAACCTCAAGTATATTCCATTGTCCGTATCTGGTGTGTATAAGCTACAGGACCTGTCAGCATTGATGGTACTACGTACATATAGGCCCCCATTTTTTCATAATACAGCTTCACAATATCAACCAGAAGTTATAAGTTGCACAGATGTAGCCTCAATTCATCACAACAGTATTTACTGAGACTTACATGTTACTATTGCTCTAAAGTTCAATTTTAAGTAATATCACACACTTAGATATATATGTATTAATATTAAAAAGACTGGTTTTCCAATTCTTGCCCTCTCATTTTCTAAAGTAGGGGTGTGTGTGTGAGAGAGAGAGACTATATCATACTCAGTAATAAGGCTACTAATTAATGCTTATATAATTCTTCTCATCTCCAAGAACTTTATAAGAATTAATCCGCACCACAGTTTTGTAGGTTTATAGATATAACATGATATGGAGGCTTTGTTGTATTATGGGAACAAAGAGCATTTGCTATTTTCTTTAAAGTTGTTTTTAAAATTTAGTATTTATATCTAATGACTTTTATATGTTTCTGAAACTAGATCACTAGAATAGATTCTTTTTCCTTTCAGCTTCCCATTTATTGTGTGCCACCTCTGAAATCTAGATACGTTGAAGAAGACCCTGGTCGTTTGCAGGTGGGGTTTTCTACATTAAGAAAGACAACTAGTCATTATGTTGAGTGGTGCAAGGTAAGAAATATAGTTTGATTAATGCTTGAAGACAAAATCTTCTGGAATTCCTGATTTAACACTTGAGTTCAACATTAAAGTACAGCATATTCCATCCAATTTGTTGGGCACTTCATTAAATCAGAATTGCCATGGTATGTAGGGGACAAGTATGAATGATATGCTTGGCCTAAGCTTAGCAGGGAGCCAAGAAAGGTGTGCAGAGAGTGAGATGACCTATTCAGTCTCCCTGCAGTCCAAACCAAACAGCAGTGACCCCGAACAGGTCCCTTTCCTTCTGTCCCTGGATTTCACAATTATGACAGCATCTAATGGCAGCATTCAGAATCACTACTTGGTTGAAACAAGAGTGGAATATGTTAATATATTGTTTTTCCAATGCTATTACATTTTACTTTTTGTCTCTTTAATCTAAATGACTTTTAAAAATAAAGTATTATGTCCACCGTCACTGAATAGGCATATTCACTGAGGCATAAGTCTTTGCTGGAATGGGGCCCAATTTTGAATTTACATTGTAACTTTACTTTTCCCCAACTGCATTGGTTGAAATGGATTTGTGGAAAAATGGAACGCCTGGGAATATGCAAGTTCTAGGACTTCCAATGTTTTGCTTGATTAAATCATTCAAATAGCGATATTTTACACAATGAACACAGTCATTAAATAGTAATACTAACTCCTAAGACCACATGGTCAGTTCCATATTTTTAAAAGTTCACATCTCAAACTACAGATGTCTGTTAAGAAATTTAGAGTAATAAGAGTTACTTCATAAATGATCTGGAGAAAAGGGTAAACGGTGATGTGGCAAAGTTTGCAGATGATACTAAACTGCTCAAGATATAGTCAAGACCAAAGCAGACTGTGAAGAACTTGAAAAAGATCTCACAAAACTAAGTGATGGGGCAACAAAATGCCGAACGAATTTTAATGTGGATAAATATAAAGTAATGCACATTGGAAAAAATAACCCCAACTATACATACAATATGATGGGGGGCTAATTTAGCTACAACTAATCAGGAGAAAGATCTTGGAATCGTTGTGGATAGTTCTCTGAAGACGTCCATGCAGTGTGCAGCGGCAGTCCAAAAAGCAGACGGGATGTTAGGAAAAAACATTTAAAAAAGGGATAGAGAATAAGACGGAGAATATCTTATTGCCCTTATATAAATCCATGGTACGCCCACATCTTGAATACTGCGTACAGATGTGGTCCCCTCGTCTCAAAAAAGATACTAGCGTTAGAAAAGGTTCGGAAAAGGGCAACTAAAATGATTAGGGGTTTGGAATGGGTCCCATATGAGGAGAGACTAAAGAGGCTAGGACTTTTCAGCTTGGAAAAGACTAAGGGGAGATATAATAGAGGTATATAAAATCATGAGTGGTGTGGAGGAAGTGAATAAGGAAAAGTTATTTACTTGTTCCCATAATATAAGAAGTAGGGGCCATCAAATGAAATTAATGGGCAGCAGGTTTAAAACAAATAAAAGGAAGTTCTTCTTCACTCAGCGCACAGTCAACCTGTGGAACTCCTTGCCTGAGGAGGTTGTGAAGGTTAGGATTATAACAGGGTTTAAATAAGAACTGGATAAATTCATGGAGATTAAGTCCATTAATGGCTATTAGCCAGGATGGGCAAGGAATGGTGTCCCTAGCCTCTATTTGTCAAAGAGTGGAGATGGATGGCAGGAGAGAGATCACTTGATCATTACCTGTTCGGTTTACTCCCTCTGTGGCACCTGGCATTGGCCACTGTCTGTAGACAGTTTACTGGGCTGGATGGACCTTTGGTCTGACCCAGTATGGCCATTCTTATGTTCTTATGTTCAGCATTGCAAATTGTTTTAGCTCAATAAAATAAAAGGAATAAAACATTTTCTCTTGTTTTTTTTTTTTTCATTAGAATAAAGCCTGTTTTACAGTTTAAGAAGCTAATAATTCAGATTTCTAATTGGATCCAAGGAACTATATTTAATACCATTGTTATTTCAGCTGCCATTGTTAGTACAGTTAAGCTGTATGATTTCTTATGATGTCTACCTTGGAGCTCTTGACATTTTAAAATAATTTTTCGTCCATTAACCTCATGACCTCACTATTTAAAGAATCTGTGTTATTACTGTGTCTTTGGTATGGTCCTCATCAAACTACGATATATTTTTTGCACATTCATACACTTTATGTAGAAGATTGCCTTGGCTTTCATTTTCATGCACATTCTAGCCCCATGCTAGATAAAAGTGCAATGTTAGCTAACGAGGAAAAAAAGATTTAAGAAGAGAAGGAAATTCAGTGATGCGGAGATTGGATGAGCTGAATGATCAGTGGGGTAGGTAAGAGTACAGTACAGTAAGACCAAGGGACACACTTGAGGGGTTACTCAGAGTTAGCTAAAATTTCATTACAAGATTTGTTAGTCTACATAATATGGAGTTCTAGCTTTACATTTCCTAAATAGTTTTGTCTTTGTATAGCATCACAGGAGGACTGGTGGTGCAAGTTATATATCTGAGTGCCCCGTTTTCCCACAGTCACTTTTGTTTGTGTGGCATAGGGATGTTTCTTTGTCTTGTTCTTTTCTATATGTTAGTGTCCTTTGTATGTCTCTTCAAGGGACACTGACTTAAGATTTATACTCTGGCTAATTTTAACACCTCGCTTATAACAACTGAGAGTTAGCAAAGATGTATCTTTTTTGGACTCTGGGGTTGCCAACTTTCTAATCACACAAAACCGAACACCCTTGCCCTGCCCTTTTTCCTAGGCCCCGCCCTGCTCACTCCATCCCCCCTCCCTCCGTTGCTTGCTCTCCCCCACCCTCACGCACTCGCTCATTTTCACTGGACTGGGGAGGGTCCCTTTTTGGCTGGGTGTTCCGGTTGAAAACCGAACACCTGGGGGTTGTTTACTTTATGGATTTGACAGCATTTTGTATATAGCCAACTTCACAACTTCCCCCTATATAGTCAATTTTTGTATTTTATAATCATGTTTTCCTTTTTGTTTGTGTGGACCTTTCATATAGCAAGAAGGAAGAGAAAATATTTACAAACAGGAAAACATGATTATAAAATACAAAAACTGGCAGATTTTAAGGATGAATGTTGTACGTGAAAATATTTCAAACACTTTTAAAATTGGTTAGATTTCAAGCTGACTGTCCCTTTAAGAGGCGTGTCATCAGTCACCGTGTAGTGCTTTTTTGTATTAAAAATAAAACAAAAACTTCACCCTTTTGGAAGGAATCTGGAGAAGGCATGTTATTTCAACAGACGGTAACGGTGATACTCTGATTTGACTTGATCACCTTGTCATTTTCATCTTTAACACTTAAGAGCAACTGCATTTCACATACTACTCCTGAATAATTCTCTGTTGCTGCCAGTCAGTATTACACTAGTTTATGTAACTTAAGAAACAGTGACAGAAGGGGTTAAGTTGTTAGAATCCCTGAAACATGTAGTGATTTCCAAAACAAAGTAATAATTTGGTGATAAATACCAGATAGTTACCAGAGCTGCTTAATATTTTAAGTATAGAGTAAAACTGTAGTATCTTAGCTATGATGGTCTCCCATTAACAAAAATAATAACTCTTAATGGTGAACACTGTTGTTTTGATATTTGTTCTCATGTTTTACATTTTTTTTTTACCTTAATAAGAGGGCTTTCGCTAGCCACTTTGAGACTTGCCTCTGCTGTTTAGAATCTAGATCAAAAAGGAACAGACACTTGTGCAGCAAGATATCATATATATATAACTCTATCAGCTAAAGAATAGCCTGCAGGCATTTCAAGTGAGTGTAGTGCTCATAAAATACATCAGGTTGATAGTCCTGGAAGTTAAAGTCCTCTCATCAATTAATCCATATAACAGTTTTATAGCATGGGAGGTACCTCAGTATGAGTTTCCCCCACGTCCTTGCAACCACTTCTAGAAATGAAGGTGTCAGTGAACCACAAAGGTGACAATTTTTATGGTAGTTTTTCTGAAGTGCACCCTGGTCCTTTAGCAGCTAGACTGAAACCACCAACTGATCTTGGATAAAGATACTGAACAACTATCAGAACTCTTAATATCTTTTCAATAACACTGACCTGAGTTGGATCTAAACTAGTGACCCAGGCCCAGGTGTATATTTAAGGTTTTGCTGCTATAGAAATGTTGCTTGGGTTATTTATTTTTTTTATGACACTTCTGGACTGGAAAAACTCTACTGTAGATGCAGTTATTCTGGCAAAATGTGAATTTTCTGGCATAGTTTATTTTGCTTGGGAAATCAGCATAAGCAATACCATCAGAAGCACTCGTTTGCTGGTATAAGCTGCATCTCCATTAGGAGGTTTGCCAGCATAAAAATGTAATAAAAATAATCACATCCCTAAGCAACATTACTATACTGGCAATAGTTCCTAGTGTACACCAGGTCTAACTCTCAGTGAATCCATGTAATCCTCCATAATTTGTAGTTTTCCCATAGATATAGCTTCAGGATGTTTTGCTGAGCACTTTGTGGAAACCACAGCACTCCTTGCTTTCAAGTTGTGTACAATGCATGCCAAAAGGTAAAAAGCTGCTAAAGCTTTAAATTGGTTCCCTCGTGCCATTTGATATGGGAGTGTGTACTGTGACGGGGTCCCTGGGTTGAAACCTGTATTGTGGGACTACTGAGCCCTGTGTCCCACCAACCTGGGTTGCTTCTCACACTGTGATGCTGATGTCAAGCTACAAGCCTCTGATTTGCACTGCACTTATACAGACATCATAGGCAGGGACACACCCAACTCTGTTACATGAATGATCTCCCAGTCACTCATGAACCATCAATAGAGAGGCTCCAGCCAATTTCTTCCTGTTCCCCAGTCTTGCACCCCAGAATTGTTCTGTCTTGCACTGGTCAGAAGCATGACCAGTGTAGGTTCATTACTTAGTTTGCCACTTCTTCATAGGAAAGTGGACATGCACCAGCCTTTGTAATTTTGAGCTGAAATTTC